ATCCACAACTTGAAAAGTGTTTGGATGTTACAAAGAGAAAGTCAAGTAACAGGACTTTGCAACAGACTAAATAATTCTAGACTAGCAGGAATCACAACAATCATTAGACTCAAACAAGCATAGATTAAAAACTAGAAACTGCTCAATCTACTAACTTGTAAATCCTTAGGTCATCTAATAGATAAAGAAAACTTCCCACTTCAGGTGATTAAAATTGCTAAAGACATGGGAATAACATTTCATAGTTGAAAATGGCAAGATATCTTTGAACGGAAAAAAAAAAACTTTTGGATCAGAGAATATCTTGTACTAGAAGAATACAAAAAAGCCATATCATCACTTAGAAACAATCAGTTAATGTACTTGGATCAACTAATTGATCTGGAAACCACAAAAATAACAAACTGGCAAATGCTTCAACTATTACAAGATATAAGCAAAGGATCCATACCAGAATAGTTCCATATCATAATCAAAAATTTTTCAGAAGTACAATTAAAGCAACTTATAAAATCTGGAAGAGTAAATTATATGAAATAGAAATCAGAATACTCAAAAATAGACCCTAATCAAGACAAACGGAAAAAATTGTGAATAGTAATAGAAAACAAAAGAAATCAAGCAACTTGAAGAAAATTAAGACCAGAAAAAAAGAAAAATATCACAATAGTAGAGCATTTTATCAGTCACAATTTCAACAATAATCAGAAGACCAACTTACAAAAATGACAGGAATGTTCAGAAGGCAGAATACTAAATGGTGATTGTATCCTGAAAAAAGAAATTAAAGAAATATTTGTAATACCATATCTCAATACAAGAAAGTCCACTAGAAGAACATGAGATCTAAAAATTCTCAACGCCAAGTTAACACTTGAAAAAGTATTAAAGAAGTGATTTACAACCAAAGCTCTCTAAAGATCCAAAATAATAGAGTAAATCACGTGAATATCGAAATCTGGGAAAGAGCTATTATTAAAGAACATATTAGAGAAGGAACATATCAAGATCATCTAATTGATATACTTCAATGTAATCTTGAATCTAAAGAAAAGCTAATCTTTTATTCTGATGGATCACTTATTAATTATGGAAAAGAAGACATGAAGATGGAAGTAGCCTGGATCCAAATAGGAAAAGAAGGAAAAAAAAGCAAGTTCCAAACAGGAGTAAACAATTGACCCTCATTTACAAGAGCAGAATTGGTAGCAATTATAACAATACTCCTAGTAGTTCCCATTGAAAGTATGATAGAGATCTATACAAATAGTCAAGCATATATCTTCAAGTAGAAATCCTTAAAAAAAGAAGACCCGAAAAGGACACATAAGAGATGGCTCAAAGAAAAAAATTGGATCCTATGGGCATATATGATAGAGTTAACAAAAAAGAAAAACTTAGATCTAAAGCTTACTAAAGTCAAGGCACACTCAAACGACCCATATAATGAAGAAGTAGATGCTCTAGCTAAGGAGGCCACAAAATTTCCACCAATTGAATGGAAAGATCTCATTTTGCACAAAATTATAACTGAAATCAAGTGGCAAGGGACAACTCTAGATGATCCAATTAGACAGTTCCTTAAGAACATTAATAATAAGACAACAGCTTATCAGTGGACACAACAAAATAGAACAGAGAAAAAATAGAATCATCAGATTTCAGAACACCAAGCTCACACATGGGACTTAGTATGGAAAAGAGTCAAGGATGGACACACATGGAATACATCTTTTAAACAATTCCAACAAAGAAGCTTTCTTATCAAACTGATCAATAACGAGCTACCCACTTTAAGTAAGTTGGTGGTAAAAAGACCGGATCTATACAAGCAAGTAAAATGCATCGCATGTAACCAATAAGATGAAACCATAGAACACTTGCTAGAATGTTCAGCCTATAAAGATCAGCTACAAAAGGCATAGAACAAGAGAGTAGATAGAATTATTAGAAACTTTAAAGAGCTATTTTGGGAAAGAAAGAGAGAGGCTGAAGAAAAAAATTCCAGACTAAGCATTGATAACCATGAAGAATTAGGAGAGTTTGACAAGTGGATCACTAAAGTAGTGAGACAGACTTCTGAAACAAGTTAGAATATACTAAGTTTCTGTATTGGCCTTATAAGAAATGACCTTATCCTAGAAATGGTAGATCTAAAATGTCAAGGTAAATGCATAGGAAGAATAGCAAGAAAGTGGATATTGAAAATACAAAAAAGAGTCTGAAACCAAATTCGAAAAGAAATCTGGAACAAAAGATGTGAAAAGGTAATCGAATGGAAATGAACACAAGGAATTAGTAATAAAGACAAAACAAAAAGATCTCCTTGTCTTTTAGACCAAAAAACTACACTCCAGAAGAAAAGAAATCCATTACCTGAAGAAAAAAACCTTGAAAATGAAAGCCTTCAAGAAATTCTAACAAGAAGAGTAGAGTATGGAATGAATGGTTGGGTTTTAAGCTCTGTCAGAACTGCACTGAGTGATCTGCAGTAATGACCTGCAGACAATGAAGTTAACAGTTGGAAGGGTCTTTACCTGAACTGCTAATGGAGCGATAAATCACTTCCGAAGTTGCACTTAGAGTTTTAATAATACTTAAAATAGAGACAAGTGAGTTAGGTAGAGACTTAGCTTTAGCAATACATTTTGAATATAAAGTATACATAAGTTTAATAAAGCACACATATCAAGCCTGACAGAGGGTTTAAAAAAAAAAAAAAAACTTATAAAACATTATATTGTTCTCATAGTCAAACTGAAGATCTTTAATAAAATATTTGATTTAAGTTGGATTTTTATGCATATAATACTCATTTTGTATCAAATAGTTTATTGACATAATAAATACTATATTTATTACTATATTGGCTTAATTTATTAAAAAGATACAGTAGGTAAATCCATAATCACTTCAAAATAGGTTTTTATTTATTTAACTTTTTTTTAATCTTCATTTACAAGTTATCACTACTTAAAATATTTTATTAGTTTGAATATTTTTTTACTTTTTATGCATGTTGTAACTTAATTATCAAATAACCATTCTAACAGAAATCCATTTTTGTTGAAAGGACTCGATTCTAAAAAGAATATTGATATTTTCCATCTATTGTGAGATGTGTATGACCCTTTGCGCGAGACAGTCGTGTAGATTCATTTTGACGATAAACACCTTGGAGAGTATTTGCCGAATTTGAATTAGTTTATTAATTACAACATATTCTATTTAAAAATATCATACACCGCTACATATGAAATTTCAAATTTCGCTGGGTTAACGTTTGTGAATTAGGGAGGCACGATTTTCAATGTTTTTGACATTACGATTCGCTATTTCCAAGACTAGCAAACGAGCTTTCTCATCATCTGTATAATCTCTTCGGAAGATGCTACATGCCATCCTGCCATCGTTTTCTTATTTGCTGCACCTATGGTCGTGCAGAAGTAAGAGTCCTCGGGCAATTCTGATTTCTTTATCGCTCGGAACATGTCCTCATCGGTTCGGTCATCGCCTGCACAAAACACGAAATCCAAATCGGGCATGTTGGTCAATAGGCGTCTTACAATTTCACCCTGTTTTTTTTTTTTTTAAAAAAAAAATAATAAATAAATAAATAATTAGTAAATCAGGTTTCACGAATTCTCAAATAGTGATTCTACACGGATTCCGTCGAAAAATTCACATTCTCAATTTCGATCTGATGGAGCTCACCTTGTTGACCAACGTGGGACGTACTTCTAAATTCTTCTTGCCGGCCAAGATCTCCACAGGCAATTTTGTTAAGATTGCACTTTCGAGATGATTTTGACATTCTTTAGCTTGGAACGCGCTGTTTTATAAACACTGTAATCAGCACATTGCGAAAACGATGATCCATCGGAAATTATAATGGCCATATTCAATCACCCACCCATACTCCGGATCCGCCTTTCGATAATGCCAGGTGATTGATGATCGTTTATACTCGATAGACGAACCTTGTGTTCGTTCGGTGTAGTATGTGAATATTTCGTCGACATCATTTTTCCACGACATATCTATGTCTTCAGTGAGATTAATCCACTTGTCACTATCTGGATTCTTTAAGAAGGAACCGTGCTCGGCGCTACATAAAAATCAGTTTAACTTTTTTTCCACAAAACAAAGGGTGAATTCAGTACGTTTCTAATTTAATAAAACTAATTACCTGAAGCCAAGTTTCTTTACCTGTCCCAACCAACTATCCAATGATTCTTGATCCCTTCCTGATACTACCCAAACCGTATTCTTGGGATCATTGGTAAGTTTCTGTAGTAGTTCAAGCATTTGAGGCGATGGTATTGCCTGACTTGGAGTGCTTACGATTGGAGTGAGCGTACCCTTTGTTAATTCAAGAGAAAAAGAAAGAGAGAAAATATACACATAGAGATTTAACGGATGAAAGGTAAAGAAAAAAAAAGGTAATCACGAAATCCATTAACGTAACCGATTACAATACATCATAATCAAAGAGTAATAACCGCCTCGTGGCGGACTTGTATTTCTTCAACAGCGTTGGCATATCCAAATACGGTGTTACATTTGATTGATCTCGGTTGCTTATGCTGGTCAAGAGCTCTTTGATAAACGATCTCGCCCAGAATTGAGCCGTGTGACTTGTCACGTGCTTTAGCAATTGCTATGACGCGAAACATGAAGAGATCAAGGATTGATTGGTTAATTTAATTCACGGCGGCACATAAGGTCTGTGTGATCGATGCACAATGATGATCACCTTGTGTTTAAGTCGTTTTTCTTCGGTAGGCAATCGAAGGGCATCGTCGATAGCCCTGGCGACACCAGTATAATCCCAGGGGTTCACCATAATCGAAGCGCTCAGTGATCCGGCCATACCCGTGAATTCGCTCAATATCAATGGCCCATAGTTTTCCTGTTGACACATTATATATTCCAGTGAGGTGGTGTTCATTCCGTCGCGCACCGAGGTGATCAGGCCTATGTCGGCCATACTCAGCAACGCGAAGTAATCAGCCTCGCCAGTGTTGTTGTGATAGTGGTGAACCGGTATATACTCTAAAGATCCATAGGTGGCATTTATGTGAGCGATGAGCTCTGCGACCTTACGCTCAAGTTTCGGTGACTCGGTGAGTGCGGGAGATGTGACTTGGATGAGCACCACCTGAACATCAATTGATGTAAATGAACAACGGCGGCTTGTGAATATCGTGCACGAGGAAGGAGAAGAGGATAGCACCCTACCTTATTTTGCCATTCAGGATATAACGACAGGAATTTATCGAAAGCACGCAACTTTTGAATTACGCCCTTGACCAAATCTAATTTGTCCCTGCCGATGATGATCCTCTTTCCCGGAAACATTTCCTTGATCGCGGCAACTCTTTGTAAAACTTCGGGTTGCTTCCTAAAATCACCGACAAATCAGAAGGTTGAGTGATGACACCGAGAGTGGATGGATTAATTAATGAGTTCACGCGTACCTTTGCCTTTCGATCCGTTCGGTGTCAATGCCAATCGGAAATGGTCCGACCGAAACTATTGATCCTTTACAATCGACACCGCCGGGAGTCGATTCGTATCCGAGAATGCGCGTACAATTGCTGGTGAAATGTCGTGCGTATGAATACGTCTGTATCAAGGAAAGGCACACGAGCGTTTGAGCGCGATGTCATGTCTATCCGAAAGGGTAGTAGTAGCCGAATGGGCGAATTGTTGAAACACGCCCGAATTAAATTGTACCTGAAATCCTATTTGATTGGCACCCAACATTCCGTTCAATACCTCTTTTCGCCTTGGTAGGCACCGAAAGATTTCCGAACTCGGGAAGGGGGCATGAATGAATAGACCGATCGCCGCATTTGGGATTCTCTCGCGCAACATTTGAGGTACCATCAGAAGGTGATAATCGTGTATCCAAACTGCGCATCATCCGATCGTTAGATTTGGGTTCCATGGGAATTATGTGGAATTCAAAGATCCACCTACCTAGATCGCCGGGTTGATAGATCTTACAAATCTTGTCGGTGAACCTTGAATTCACCTTTAAATATTGTTCCCAGTTGATCTTCTCCTCGCGGCCGTCGGTCGCATTTTCCCACAAGATATAATGGAATAGTGGCCACAGCACTATTCTCAAATGAAGAAGGAGGTTTGCATTCGAAAATGACGGTCAACCTCTACTTAACACCCGCCAAGAGACGACGAAATTGTTTGTTGTTCGTGCTTACCGGTTTTACAAAATCCTTCGTAGTGACCGTGATGTTCCGAATCCTCGAGCCACACAGGAGCAATCTTTGCCTTAGCCAAATGTTCCTCCAAGCTTTCCTTGATTTCGCTGGTGAGCTGGCATGGCTCCAACTGCTTGTCCCCTTCAAACACCGGACCTATGAAACCCACGTGATAATTATTCCACTCGGAGTCCAACGAACGAATACCCGAGTAGAGAGCGGAATGACCTCTTCGCGTTGTCAATGACCACTGCAAGCCCTCCGTTTCCGAGACCTTCATGTGAGGGTCGTAAGGGATCATATGGGTGACATTGATAATTCTCCGGTTAGCGGTCATCCCGTCGGGAGTGGCGTCAGAGGCACGTGCATTCGAAGTGCTCATTTGAGAAGAGCCCATTTTTTTCAATCAAATTTGTAGGATGTTCGGAACAATGTAATTTAATAAATAATGGTTCGAAATGTCTCTCCTTTATTTTTGGACGAAATGGTGTAACTGCGGAGCCAGTAAAGCAAGTGTATTTATACCTTTCGGTATGATAGGTTGTGTGAATATACATTACAAAAGTTACAATGCATCGATAATTGATTTGCCACTGATGATCTGGTGGCACAATTGCATCATTCTTTATAAGAAGGATTTCCTCTAAAATTATTAATTTCAGTTATCTCGTGAATCTTGTGTGCGCGTCAAGATCACGATTGAGAAACGAAAATCTCGACACCAGTAAGGCAAAGTTTATTATTTTCACCATTCGCCTGCTGATATCACAATCACAATGATAATTTCCGACCTAATTGGTGACGATGCACATCTAAAAATTAATGGTCATGCCTTATCTCTCACACTGATAAAGTTAACCGGTTATGGAAGGTGGGTGGACCAGGTCCTCGATTACATAAATTGGGTGAATCGGGTTCTAAACATGCATATGCCAAATGCCAAAAAGGTACGTGTCGTCAAGGGGGTAAAAAAAAAAAAACTCACTAGGATAACATGCATAGCTGATAGCCGTTTAATACATTATTTTGTGCTTATCACTTATCAGATATTATTGTTATTATATGATGATTATTAATAAGAGTCGAGGTTTGAAATATGGGCAATTATTCTTGAAGGCGATCAAAATACTAAATATGATTTTTTCTGCCCTCACTTTTTAATAATACGTATATAATGCAAAATTTAGGATCACAATTACATGGTCCGAAAAATCCCTGTCCGCCTTCGAAAATAATTACCCATATTGTGTAGAATCTATCGTAACCATTGTTATATGTTTCAAAGTATCCTTGGACCCGGGGTGAGAAATGAACGATCGTCGCGGACATAACCAATCAATTTCGGACTTCACCCAGTGTTGGTGCGCGCACACACCTACACCTATTGCCCATTTTGATTTTCGCGAACACGTGTTAACCACGAAAGGTGATGATAACGGACATCTCAAATAAATCTGACACGACTACGTAATTCAAGATTTGTGTGACATATGTATGGTTAACGTCACTTTTTATTTACATAAAAAGATGTTCATTCGCCTATAATTTTATGTGATGATGACGATAATGGTAATTATGATATATATTTATCTATTTTTATTATTACTGTCAAGTCCGTGACCGTTTTCCATCGTGCCCACTGCGCTCACTATTGTGGTGATGACGCGATCCTGACGCAGACGAAGACGAGGATGATGCTGCATTTGGCGCGGGCACATCCCATTTGCTGGCACGTTTTTTTTTTCCTAAAGCGCGATATACACATGCATCGAATTAAAGAGATTTAATGTGATTAATTATTAGTCGATGGTGTGATGTGCAAAACAACTTTTTATGTTCGATTCACGCACCGGAAATCCCTCTTGAACTAGCAGCAGTAATGACGGTGTTGGTGGCGGTGTCATTTACATTGGGTAAAGTTTGTTGCGAGGATGTCACGGAGGTGGCAGACGTGATAACGACATTAGCTGCTGAGGAGCCTTTTTCCGCTCGAGCCGCAAGGCTTTGCATAACGTGTCGAGCTTTGGATATTCCCTGACTGCTGGAACTCGAACCTACAAATTGTATCTGTGACCGATGCTGTTGCTGCTGCTGTTGTCGTTCCTCCGCTTGCTTCTTTTGAGCTTCCGCTTTGAAATAAAGGATTAAAATAATATCATATTCTGATCTCGGACATTAAGATGCGTGTAAGGACGAGGGTGCGATGATGTTCATGAATTTACCGAGTTGATCCGCGAACGCTTCTGGTGGAAATCCGTAAGGATCGAATATTGCTCTATCAAAATTTGAACCGATCTCGTCCAACTCCACAAATTCTACCAACTTATTATATATATGTGGATTACGAAAAGCCTTATTTTTTAAAAGATTTTCGTTGAAAAAGATACCTTTGCTCTTTAATTGATGAAAATGAGCAATTTTTTCCTTGCCGAACGTCAAACGACAAAAGTCTTACGTTAGTTAGACTGTCGGAAAAAAAAAAAAAAAAAAAAAAAAAAAGCGTTTTCAAGTGAGATAAAAAAAAGAAGTCTACCTGTAACGCCTGATCACATTCGGTCTCCGGTTCCGGCGGAATTCCCCAATTTTCCATACCTTCGATGGATTTAGGTGTTAGCAATCGACGCATGGCGATCTTTTGTTGAAAATCTACTGGTTCATCCGGTGGTACCTCGATTTCCATTGGTATCGACGGATCGTTGTTGATGTCGCTGACAACAACACGCTTGCCCAATTGATCCGACGACGGTGAAGAAGCGCGGACCTCCATTCCGGGGGACGCGCACGGTTTCGGTAAAGATGAATCGTCATCACGCTGTTTATTGTGTGATGTGATGTTGTTATTGTTTTTTCGACGAACCAGGTTGGAGAAAGCCGAGGGAGAGGAGGTTAGCGATTTCGGGGGGTGTTGGGTTTGCGGAAGCGACTCCTTTGGCGATCCTCTTGATTGTCTGCGTTCTAAATCGGCGAACAGGGGAAAAGTTAATAAGGTCGAAGTTTCTGGAGACATTGTATGGTAAAGTTCTCGGAGTTAAACGTGTGAAAAAAAAAATGAAAAAAAAAAAATATAAAATATAATATATATATATATATATATATATATATGGAAAACGGCATCAAAAGCACAAGTGATCGAGACTGACGAAATCAAAAGACACACCGGAAATCGATTCACTTGCAGTCTGACTGGTTAATTACCTGCAACATTGTTTGCCATGGCTTGGGATGTAGATTCGCCTTGCTAGGAATCAAAATTGTAGTAATTTGTTAACCAACCAACTCTATCCCACAGGATCCAAAGCCCATGACATGCGCATGCTTTCAGGAAACCATACTACATTTTTCGTCTCCAAATTTTTTCTGACCTCCCCTTGATCTTCGCCCGAGTTATCGAACGAGATAGCTTTCGTAAACGAAGAAGACAAGTTAAAACTAATCAAGACATATATCCGTTGTCAGGTAGTGAGGTGTGTACGGCTCATTTACCTGTGACGGTAATGTGTTGTTCTTCCGTAACTCCGTCGTTATCGGATTGTTGTTCGTCGTCTTCGTCGTCATAATAGTTGAGACCTAATAGGCCGCTCATGGGTGAATAAAGATTTTCCAACGAGATTTCAGGTTTTAGCCTTTTAAAAAAAAAAAAAAAAAAATTACACGAACGTCACACAAAAAATGTATGCATGTTGATCTAATTTGCTTATTTGCTTTTATGGCTATATAAACAAGAATTATCGAGTTATCCCGAGACTAAATTACGTAGTATATCATTTATATTTATTCACCAAGATTTGCTCTTGCCATGTCACTCTCAAGACCCTCCCTCTTGCGGCTTTCAATAATAGCAATAACAATAGTTTCCTTGCTCTCCTTTCAACTTAAAATGGTGCGAACGGATGATGCAGTTGTCGACGAATTTTTTAGCCGCGGTGGACACACCAACAACTGGGCTGTGCTGGTAACGCGTCAGGGAGGACGTGTGCCCGTTGCTTTTAAACTCATTCTGATCTGCCCGCCTTCGCGTTTTCACAGGTTTGCACCTCGCGATTTTGGTTTAACTACAGACACATCGCCAACACCCTGTCAGTGTATCGCACGGTGAAACGCCTTGGCATTCCGGATTCCAATATCATCCTGATGTTGGCCGACGACGTCGCGTGTAATCCTCGAAACGTTTTTCCCGCTACGGTTTTCAATAATGCCGGAAGGTATCTGGATTTATACGGGGATAACGTGGAGGTGGACTACCGGGGATATGAGGTAACCGTGGAAAATTTCATTCGAGTTTTGACAGGCAGGTTCCGTCAACTAATCATCTTCCATCCTGTTGTAACTCTGTCGCGTTGTCAATTTAACGAGGTTCGTTTTTTGAATAGGTCGCGTCGCACCCGATACACCCCGATCAAAGCGCCTATTGTCCGACGATCGATCAAACATTTTGGTGTACATGACTGGTCACGGTGGTAATGAATTCTTGAAATTTCAAGATGCCGAAGAGATCAGCAGTTTTGATTTGGCCGATGCATTCGAACAAATGTGGGAAAAGCAAAGGTATTTTTTTAAATTACCATCACCTATTCCACATCTCGACGGCTAATAATTGACGTCAATTTTAAGATATCACGAAATTCTGTTTATGATTGACACTTGTCAAGCAAATACCATGTATGGTCAAATATATTCACCCAATATTTTGGCCACTGGCAGCAGTGAACTTGGCGAAAACTCTTACTCGGTAAAAAAAAAAAAAAAAAAAAAAAAAAAAAAAAACAAATTGTAATTTCACGTGAATCCATTGCTCATTTAGTTGACTTTTTTTTCTTAATAACGCACACAGCATCACATGGACTCTGACATCGGAGTCGCGGTAATTGATCGGTTTACGTACTATAATCTGGAATTTTTGGAAAAGATAGATATGCAAAGCAAATCAACGTTGCAAGACCTTTTCAATTCATATGATCCGGCATTGATACACTCGACCCCCGGAGTTCGCAGCGATCTGTTTCGAAGGCCTCTGGATAAGGTACCGTCATTTCCGAGGAAGGAATATTTAACATGTCGGCATTGTCTCACCGATTGATGAATTGGTAGGTACTCGTCACAGATTTTTTCGGTAGTGTACGGAATGTAGAGCTTACGGGGCAACAGTACAATCTCTCGACCTCCAATGCGGTACACCTGTCTTCATTTAATGAGGTAACCGTAAATTCATTTCCTCTCATCTCACAATCGATGTTTGCTAACTGATGATCGCTTAAAAGACGACGATTGGGAAAGATGTGAATATCGAGAAATCGACGTCAAGAAGTTTCCATCTCGTGAATGTAAACTCCCGATCAACAGCATCCCCATTGCCACAATTTCTTACGGCATGCACCTTATTTGGATTGCTGATCCGATGGGTGTCCAGGATAATATGAAATAATTTATTCAGTCATCATTCATTTACCATTGGTCTGTTGTTTGCATCGGAGAGTAGTTACACGATAATTTTTTGATCGACAAAAGTCATTGTGTAAATTAGATTCAAGGGATGATGAACAACCCCAAGGGGCTATCTATCAGATTACATAATTAGTGTATAGAATGGATTCGAATTCGATCAATCCATTTGAGAATTGCTCGAGATTTATAATGCTGAAGATTTTGAAAAAAAAAAAAAATTAAGTAAAATAAAATTGTGCATCCGGTGATCATTAACGTGAGTTTAGATTTGATGATGCCTTTAAGGTGAGGTGAAATACCTATCACCTGCATTGAAAAGATAAATGAGCAACGATTTCACGTCAGCGTCATTAATACCGAAGTCACGAATAGCACATTACCAAAGTCCCCTAATCCGGGTACAATGTATTTCTTTCCATTCAATCCTTCGTCCACAAATGCAGTCACTATTTTGAGTTTCGAAAATTTTGAAGTAACCGCATTGATTCCCTCGGGAGCAGCAATTAAATTCAGAAACAGTATCTTGTCTTCCGGGACTCCATTCGCAAGCAATACCTCGATAGCTTTAATAGCCGAACCTCCGGTTGCTTTCGTAACAACAGGGGAGTCAATTGAGAGCGCTCGAAAAAAAAAACATACATGGATACATATACTACATATACTGGATATGTATAGCATATATATCGTTGAAATTTAAATAGATACTCATTACCAAGCATCGGATCCAACAACAAGACATATCGGTCTTCTATATCTGGAGGCAATTTGGCGTAGTAGAGCTTTAAAAAGTAAATATGTAATTTAAATATATTGTCTTTTACCATTTATAGTAATATCGTTCTATGTTTACTTTGGGTTGTGCAGTTTCCTCATCACGTTGTATCAAAATTTTTCCGATTCTTACGCTCCTAGTTAAGAAACGATCGACATAAATTGAGGCGCAGCGGATTATATATTCAGCAAGTGGAAATAAAACAAACCTGCAACATTCACGCAACCCTTGCTCCATGGCCTCGCCGGCTCGCATAATCGATACACCGCATATCTTCCCCTTAAACTGGACGCCTTTGAATTCATTGCCCGTCGGAGTTACGATGGTTTTTTCGACGACTGGCAAATGGTTCAACCCTAGTTTTTTGGGAATGCGTCGAGGTTAGAGCATGTAAACGTAAGAACGCAGGGAAACCTCAACTTCAAACCTTCTTCAACGAGAAGTCTAATGACCCTGTCGGAATAAAAAATAAAGTCTCCACGAGTGGTGGTTTTATCTCGTATCATGGTCAACAGTGCGTCAAGTTGGTTTGTCCGCGGAAGACAAGTTACGTTCTCGGGAAGTGATAACTGCGCGTGCACAAATATGAGTTAAAAAAAAAAAAAAAAAAAAAAAAAAAAAAAAATAATAATAATAATAATTTTCTTTTTTAATAACAAGGTTAGAATTGAACCCAAGTACCATTGATAAAATTTCAAAGTGAGAGAAGTCTGAGTGAATAATTTCGATTCTGCGACAGACATTTAGACGTGCATTCTGATCATGTGAGCGGATGACTAATCAAAAAGGAATATGAAGCTGCAAATAGAAAAGACATGAACCGCTGCAGCTTACATTTGTACCCGTTGAAATGATTAAATCCGTCCTCATTTTCAATAACCATGGGAAGGCCCGAATCACAAAGTTCTATCAACAGATTGTAAGATTTTCAATTTGACCATTTTGAGATTGGCTCGCTCGAGCGACTCCTACTGAACTCAACATGTTTCTAGGATATTGGTACACAGCAAGCGTTAGTCCACGAGATATACTCCTTAGTTTCTAAACGTCCAGACACGGTATGTAATTTCCTCGAGGGAAGTCAGATGCTTGGTGGAAAAGATACACGAGTTATTTATCGACACTATGCAACCCTATACTTTGTTTTTGTCGTTGATGAATGCGAAAGTGAGTTGGGGATACTGGATTTAATTCAGGTTCTTTTCCTGTTCATTTCTGCGTCAGGTGTTGTAGAAAAGTTTTTCCCGGAGAAGGTTTTTTTTTCTTTTTCGTTTACCCGTGTTTCCTTTATCCCAGGTCTTTGTGGAAAGTTTGGATAGATGTTTTGAGAACGTGTGCGAACTCGATCTGGTGAGATAAGACCGCGATGAAATTTTAGTGTATTCTCATCGAGATGCTTACATCAATCTTTCTCCCTCGATTTCTTCGGCGACAAGATTTTTCACTTCGAAGAGGTATTATTATCCTTTGTTAACCCGTTGGTGTAAATTTGCTTGAATTATTTTATTTATTAACTCGTTTCGGTATATTTGTAGGTCCATCACATTCTCTCCGAGGTTGTCATGGGAGGAATGGTTGGTTACATACATCCTCAACCTAGAATACCAAAATAACTAATAATTCTGTATTATAAAACTTAAATTAGGTCTTGGAGACAAACATATCGGAAATAGTTTCAGCATATGGTGAGGCAAGCAAATATAAGAAACGATCGGGAACGATGGCCACCATTGCTGGAAGTGGAGCCGGTGTTGCCCGGGATCTGGGGGCCAATCTGGCGAGTACGGTCACAACCACTTTGCAGACCACATTACAAAGTGCCACGTTTCCCACATTCCGAAGAAATTCCGGCTTTAACTCGTGACTCACTTTATTTTTCCAAATTTATTCGGTGATATTTAAGAATTTGATCGAAATTCATGATGTATTAATTTAGAAATTCCCTTAAATGTCAACGCACGTAAAAATAAAAATTGGCGCATGCTACTTTGGACGATTCTTTGGTCATGTGACATGCGTATACGAATCATGTGACAAATGTATAACATTTGATTTATCATGTGGATAAACAAAATGCAGATCACACTTTAAAATGGTGATCATGTCGCGTAAATTAGACCGTCTTTTAAAGGAATGAATTGTGCCACGCGGGTTTAATAACAAATCGTTCTAACAAATAGTTACCATTTTGATTTGACGATGACCACCACCACCGAAAGACCCATTGATGACCACCATCAGATAACTGGAGATTGGCTTTTAAGCGAACAAAGAAAGATCGAAAACGTTTGCAATGAAAATATCCGAGAATTTACTACGACTTGTCTGCTGGAAGTTGACTGGCTAAAGAATTATTTGACAGGTATCATCATTAACCCCCATTGTAAGCCTCCTGTCTGCACCAGTTCGAATCACCGGAGTGACGCGCAACACAAAATACTTGAGGATTGCGAACATGACGCGGATCAAGAAAATGCTAGCAAAATTTCCTTCAACTATCAACATCAAAATGAAGTCGTGTGTTTCGATGTGCAAGAAAAAAAGGAACAGGACAAAGAAGAAATTAAGGATTTGAATAATGTCATAACTAGTGAACATGAAAGCAAAAAATTCGAGCGCAAAAAAACTCTAATTGGTCCAAATTCCATCAGGATCGAACCAAAGATGGAACCGCGCATTCTGTCCTCTTTTCGTAGTAGTAATGCCTCTTCCCGAGATTGCGTCAAAGGTCTGAATGATCTGTCAAATAAAAAGACAACCCATAAACGACTAGCACAGTCAAAACCCGAGATAAAATCTCTTGTGTTGGCGGCTGCTGCTGCGAAAAAGGTAAACATAACTTGGTGTGAGGATTTACATTTTCGAAATTATTATCTAAAACGAGTCAATGACAGGAGCAGGAGGAGCAAGAAAAAAAATACGAAAGAATAAAAGAATGGGAAGCAAAGCGCTTGGCTGCTTCACAACGAAGACACGAAGAAGAGCAGAAGCGACTGCAAAATGCTAGACTGCGTGAAGAAGAGTGGAAAAGGAAAGCAAACTTTATTCCAGAAACTAAAAAAAAGGTGCGAAACCATGCACAGATCGACAATTCCCAATGGCATTATCATTTACGACTTTTCTTTTTTGTCGTCAAAGGAGAACGACAGCTCAAAAAAAAAACGAGTCGATAAAACTGCACAAAAGAAAAAAGAAATTGACGCGCGACAAAGAGACGACGTGCCATCTGAGAAAACATCATCGCAACTAGAACATAAGAACATTCTGCAGAAATCACCATCACAAAGTTCCGATTTCTTATGCGACCAGAGGAATGACCAGTCCGAATTTGATTGGAACTCGAGGACGGACGATGAGTTCCCGCACAGGTGCCCGATCGAACCAATTCTGTTGCTCGTAACTACAGATAATCGCGTTAGTGGGATCATATTGACACATATTAAGATGGAAATTTCTGTGCAACAAAAACCTTTCACCCAAAACCGCGGATGAAACATGTTTCCCCAGGAAAATGAGCCGATTTTCCATATATAAATTGATTTAATGGGAATAGTTAGCGATAATAACGTTTGTGGCTTGCATACTGAAATGTTGTGCTTTTTAAAAAAGAACACATTTATCTCCTATACATCAACTGTAGTTACGAGCAACGAACTAATTCTTCTTTGGAGGAGCTCTTTGGTTAAATGATTTATTGACTAAAATCGCAAATATTTTTATATTCAAAGTTCAAGTAGTGAAGAGGAAGAAACAAAACGTCCGGAATGGTGTCGACAATCAAATCTTAACGTTGCACTAATACATCAGGCTTCAATTGACCCCGAGATCATTTTTGGAAAGATTCAACCATTAAACATGGAAAGTATGTGAGATTTCTGATTATCACAGGAGTACCGGTTATATTAACAGAAATAGCTAATTTGTTCTAATTTTAGAAATTTTTAGGGGACGTGAACGCAAATTTCGTCAACGTTCCAGTTCTGCGAACTGGTTTGGTGGAGACGCGTTGACTATCCAAGAAGAAATAGAATATAAATTCCGTATGGGATTTAAGTAAGGCTTCCAGCCGTCGGGTCAGGGTCGACCCGATCTCGACTTAAATAATTCGGGTTTCAGAACTTACATATGATTTACATATTTAACGATACAAATACAGTATATTCTGAAATGATTAATAAATAATGTTTTTTCTATTTAAAATCTCTTTCCTCAGTTATTAATTGCAAGTTAACATAGCAGATGGTATCACGTGGAAAATAACTTTAATTTCATTATGAATGACTAACATATATTCCTAATATAAACTAGGAAGGAGAACTAGTTGCTAGAATGTTTGAACCGAGTGCTTCCGTCCGATCGGAATTATAATTTTAGTTAGATCATATTGGTTTCTAAATTATCCTTAATTGGTTTTATAAATAAACACTGAAATAAAATTTGTGCATTTATTTTTCTATTTTTATTGGACAGTAACTAAACTAGGAAGCGGAAGTCATTGTTGAGTTCGGAATCAAAAGTTCAGACATTATTATTTTTTTTAAAATAGCAAACTTGATTATATTATATATATTTATTTACTTACAATCATACTATTATAGTATATCTTCATTGAGATATTAATAAAAATTTTTTAATATTATATTAACTTTTACTTAATAATTAATTTATCTTTCTTTATATATTATTAGTTAAAGAATTATGCTACTTAAAAAAATATATGAAGTTCTTTAAACTAGTTCAGATTAAACAAAACTACAGTAAGTTTCAATTAAATATTTTAAATCAAATTTAAGAAACAATATTATGTTTTTCTAATGGATTTATATAAAAGATTTGAAATGTACAGTATATATGAGAGTCAATAAATTTTAAGGTAATAATTTAATGCACAAAATAGTTTGATGGATTTGTGTAAAAGACTTGAAATATATATATCATGGTCAGTAAACCTTAAGACAATAGTTTAAGGCATAAAATAATTTGATAGATTTATATAAAAGACTTAAAATATATATATTATAGTTAGTAAAATTTAAGACAATAGTTTAATACACAAAATAGTTTAATGAATTTGTGTAAAAAACTTGAAATATATATATTAGAATCAATAAACTTTAAAGCAATAGTTTAATGCATAAAATAATTTAATGAATTTATATAAAAGAATATATATAATTATTTTCAAAAATTTGAATTTACTTGTTATATTTTTAATATAAATTTCAACTTTGATAATTTTTAAATCAATTATATAATTAAAAATTATAAAATTTATATATATTATATTATATCTTAATAATTTTTTTTTCTTTAAAAAATTATATATATATATATATTTTAAAGTTTTATTATTATTAAATATTTTTTTTTTTATATTTTTTTTTTGACTACCTATAGCCAAGCTAGATTATTGATTTATTAATCAATTGAAAACATAAGTATATTTTTATTCAAGCAGCATAATACATATAATAGTTAAACTATTATTTTAATTTAACTAACTCATCATAAGTATAAAAGTCTTTAAGTTCAACTTTGAAGACAATATTTTATTCTATAGTATTTTTGGATGAAAACTCTTCTGGTTCATTATATTATTGTCAATAGGTTGTCATTATCCTATGTCTTACCAAGCCATTAGAATATAGGAAACTACAAAAGGATATGTTAAAAAAAAGAGAAAAAAAATATTCAAAAATGTTTAAATAGATAACAAGAAAATAAAAAGAAAAAAATTGAAAAAAAAATTTTCAGCTTCCTCTAAAGACCTGCTTTTCAAGATCTTTTCTCAATATAAAATAACTGATTGGAATATCTTTTTTTTTCCTGACCATCTAAGAAACATATCCATTCTTGATCTTAATTTCCTTCTTATGTACTATCTGAGAAAACTTATTATCTAGTGAAAGTTAATGATGGGTTTCTAAAGTATTTAGCATATAAAATTTTACAGATCATTTATATCTCTATTTGAAAGACAAAATTTATAACTCTTCACTTTAATAGGAACGTAAGTCAAGAAATATTATAAATCAATAATTTAAATAATGAAGAATAATTATGAATAGTTTTTTTATAATTATTAATTTAAAAATTTTAATGTTTCCTAGAAAGTAATATTTAATTTTTGTCTCTATCTTCTTGTAAAAGACCTGAAATGGATATATCAGAGTTAGTAAATTCTTAGACAATAAGTTTAATGCACAAAAGAGTTATTTCTATTAAGGTTAAGAATCAACCTTTTTATACATTTTAAAGTAACACAAAATAAATATAAAATAAATGTGACTAAAAATACATTAATTATATGACTTATTATTCAGACAACTTATGTAATATACAACTAATCATAAATGGAAAATGAAATAAAATAAAATAAAAAGAAATAATTGATACCTTATTCACCATAGTCTGATAATCAATTATTATTTATAGTGAACAAGTCCAAATAATTTATGTAATGCAATTGTGATTTCATCTCAATATCATAATATCAGCTCACCAATCTTGGCAGTTTCAGTGAAAATGAAGTGATAGACTCAGATTGTTACATTTTTCCTATCATAAGAGTGAGACATCCTCATCTCTTCAAATTCTTTCACTAATTGCATTGCATTGATTAATTTATTCTTAAAGATCTAGGTAATATTATAAAGGAGTATCCTACCTATTTGATTAGGTATTAAATTTTCTTATGGATGGTTCTTTTGTCCAGAATAGCTTCCACTTCATATTTCTCTTGTTAATTATCAAAGTAGATGACTGGTGATAGTAAAATTTCTTAAAGAAAATTATTAAGGGATGGTTGATATGGTTTCAACATAAAGATATAAAATATGGAGTGAATTTTTATGCTAAATAATAAATCCAATTTGTATGCGTTTGGAAGATTATTTCACAGATAGTGTAAAGTTCAGCATATCTTGATATTAATTTCTTAATGGGTTAGTATCAATCTATAGGTGAGTTGGTATTTTTTATGTTGAGTAAAACTTGATCTCCTAGTTTTAATATGAGATGGTGACAGTGTTCATTAGTATACTTCATTTGTCATATCTGAATATATCCTTGACTAACTTAATTATAATATTCCAGTAGTGTAAAAAATCATCTATAGCAGATATATTGATTGTTGCAATTGTTGTCATAGTAATCGGGAGAATTGAAAATTGTCCACAGTCTAATTTAAAGGATATGAATCTAGTAGAGGCTTGCTTTGAGTTGTTATATGTGAATTTAGTGAGTAAGAGGTATTCATTCCATTGATCTTATTTATAGGTGGAGTAGGCTCTAAGTATTTCTTCTAAGGTTCTGTTAATTTGCTCAGTTTACCTATCTGTTTGAGGATGAAAGGTAGTAGACATGGTAGTCTTAATTCCTAAGTGTTTGAATATAGCTTGTCAAAATTGATTAGTGAACCTTATATCTTAATTTGATATAATAGCTCTTGGTAACTCATGGTTTTTAAAAATAGTATTGAAGAAGATATTGATAACTTCTGGTGCTGTGACAGATGTATGCATAGGTTGAAAGTGCACTTGCTTAGAAAGGCAGTCTACAAACACAACAATAGCATCATATCCTTGTCTTGTTAAAGGCAATTGTATAATAAAATCTATGATAATTTCTTCCCATCACTTGGTAGGTATTGGCAATGGTCGAAAGAGTCTAGGAGATTGTTGATTACTAGCTTTGTTTCTTTGGCAGGTGTCACAAGTCTGAATATATTTATGAATGTCTTTTCCCAGTAAAAGGTTTTCATGATGTTCTCAGTAGTCTTGTTAATTCCCAAATATTTAATGGCTTCTATGTTATAGTGCTCTCTAAGAATGTAAATATGAATGTATTTGTTAACAGGGATAGCTAGATGGTGTTCTTCACAAAGATATATTTTTTGGTTCTCCCAGATAAAGTGTTTGGCATGATTTCTTTTCTATTCCTTAGCTTGCTTAGGGTGTTGCAATATATCAAAAATGGTAGCAAAATACTTGTCTTATGGATATGCTTGCAGAAAAGTTTGATAATTGGCAAGGGTGATAAAGAGAGTAGTGATGGAGACAAGGTATGGTTGTTTTGACAAGGCATTAGCTACAACATTTGTTTTCCTAGACTAATATTTAACTGTGAAGTTGTGACTTTGAAGGGTTTCTAACCAGTGGGCTTGTTTTCTTAACAAGTTGGATTGGATTTTTATATATTCTAATGAGACATGGTCAGTGATAATAGTGAACTGTTGTCTTTCTAAATACATTCTTCAAGTTCTAATAGTATACACAATGGCTAGAAGTTTATTCTCATGAATAGCATAATTTTACTTAGCAAGAGATAGTTTTCTAGATTCATAGATGACTGGTTGTTCTTTATTTCCTTGGTCTTGTATCAAGACAGCTCCAATTGCAAAGTCTGAGGCATCGGTTGTTACAATGAATGGTTTGGTAGGATCAGGCAATAGGAGAACAGATATAATAGTTAGCTTCTTCTTTAAGATGTCAAAGACATTGTGGGTTTCATTGATCCATTCAAAGGCTTTATCTTTATGAAAGAGAGTAGTGAGGAGTATAGCTATTGCAAAAAATTTAAATACAAACTTGCAATAAATCTAACTTCCGAAGCTTTGATAGATGTGGGTCAGTTGTTTATGACTTCTACTTTGCACAGGTCAACAGCTATTCCTTGATTAGAGATGAAATGTCCTATATATTCTACACATTATTGGAAAAGTTCACATTTGCTAACTTTAGCATACAGATGATATTTTTGTAGGGTTGTCAATACAGTTCTCAGATATTGTAGGTGCTCAGTTTTTGTCTTGCTGTAAATCAAAATGTCATCTAGATACACAATTACAAAGTTATCCAGGTATAGGTGAAAGATATCATTTATCAAAGTCATGAAGGTGGCAGGAGCATTGATCAATTCAAAGGGGTGAACTAAGAATTCATAGTATTCATAGCAGGTTCTAAAAGCAGTCTTGTGAATATTTTCTTCTTTGATATAAATTTGATGGTAATCAGAGTAGAGGTTAATCTTGAAAAAATATTTGATATCAACTATTCA